TCTTCCCCCCAGATGGTTAATAGAGTTATTCTGGCTGCAGTGGAGAGCAGTCTTACTGAAATAAGTATCTCACTGATGCTTTTTTCCATCTTTAAGATAGAGAAGGTGGCCTGGCATCAGTTAAGTATCTACTTAAAGCAACAGAGACACATAGGCATGAAATAAAGATGAGCATTTGACAGTGGATGACTATATTTTCCTGTTGTGTCTGTGTAAAACAATGGATACAGAAATGTTAACGCGTTATTAATGTGGGTTCTGGGCCTTCTTTCCAGAGAGCAATCAGTTATAGCATGGTATGAGTGCAAGTGCAGTATAATATTGGATTCCATCTTGTTACAGACCCTTGTTTTGGTGATTGTCAAAGCTGGGCACCTGGTTTTATACAAGTATGTGGATAGCAAAGGCTATAACTTCACTTTACACTTGCTGGCTATTAACTGACCCAAATGAACACCTCCTTAATGCTACATCAGTGTAAAAGGCATTCAGGGATTTGATGTAGACCAGTATATTTACATTTACATAAAGCATTTTAAATTTTAATGAATTATTACAAATCAAGGCTTTTAATTGTATGGTAAAAATAAAATATAGAAAATAAATATCATTAATGAAATAGACGAATTAAGAAGTGAGGCCACCAGCTGCTCCCATTTGCTCCTGCTTCGTTACAGCCTGATACCGGCCAGCGGCTCGGACGTTGGGAACCTCTGGCCTACAGTATACAGACAGTATGTACAAATTTTTCTCCTTTTCCAACTGTACTCTCTTGCAGCTTTACCCATTGTGTGCTTGCACTTAAAAGGAGAATGCAGCCAAGATTCACATCCATTCTCATGTTTCTATCTCCCTGATCAGTCAGCTTTACATCTAGCCGACAGATAAGCTGTGCATGTAGATGCAATTGTTTCCCTTCCAGCTTACAGGAAATCGACTAACAAGAGACATAAACGCCAACAGTAGACTTTTCCCTCCCTTTGTTCTGAGCATCTGTGTGAAGCTTTGTAAAGATCGTAAGGGTCATTACATGTAGGGCAAATATCCAATAAATTTGATGAATAAAATACATTAAACTGTAAAGCCATCTTTTGTTAATCAAGCTAATTGCTAGCTAGTCACCTGTAGCAAGTCTTCCCTATTGTGAAACAATGACTCTTTTATGCAAACATAATCTGTAGTTGATTGCTTTACGTGACAGAATCTGTGATAGTCTAGCGATAGACTGGAGTAGACCCTTATTCCTGACTGTTTTAGAGCTGTAATGGTCTCAATATCAGGTTTAGTCACCTGGTGCGATTTCCTACTGCTCCGGGTTGCATGCTCTGCATTTGTTTGTAAGAAAACATAAATTCGGCATTGGGTGTAGCAGCTCAAAAACCTTAATTCTATTGAAATAGTCATTCATCTGCTTACTGACAACAGATAACTCAGTGTTATTTTTAAATGTTGGTTAAAAAGAGAGTTCTCCTGCTCTCCTGGACCACTCATCGCATTAAAGCACAACAACAACACAAACACCTGTTCAGTGTTGCCAGATCAGGTGAAATAGCGTTTTTTTATGCTACACTCTGTTTTTTTCAGTGTCGGTTGCAGTTTTTTTTTTAGCTAAGTTCCATTCAAAAAGCACAAATAAAACAGAAAAGAAATTCTAATTAAATTTCTTCTTGCAAAACATTCCTAGGGGCTTTAAGAAATGGACGATCACAGTCCTTTGCTAAAGTCTATTAAAATTGAGAGTCTGAGTAGATGGAGTAGACAGAACAAGAGTGACTGCGAGGCTGGGAGAGTGATGATCTGAACCATATGATTCAAACTTGAAAGATCAAGCAGAGAGAGAGAAGAATAGAAGTGGACAAAATGAAAGGACACGCCACCAGTGCTAAGAGGTTCTGACAGGCACCAAAAATGGGAAAATCCTGACAACTGCGGAATGTCGTCCAGGCGTTTCACTACCTCAGTCAGCTGTCATTTTGGTTTGAATGATAGACTTCGTAAATGTACTGTTCTCCTGGTTTTACTGTTGTGCTCTACTTAGTCTTCTTTTTTTATTATTCGTGCGTTCTGTTCACTAGCTGGCTGACCACAGCACTGAAGCTCGCTGAGTGTCTCAGTGAACGTTCTGCAGTAGATAAATTAGGTGGATAATCTTAACACTGACACGTTTAAAACAAAAACAACAACTGGTCATTCTGGTTTGCTTAGCCAGTCCATGCAGATTTATTGGTGTTCTCAAGGCTTTCGAAGGCTGGACATACACATGCTTACATGCTATTTCAGCCAAGACTTCTTTCCAAAACCACCATGGTCACATCTGCATTCAAGCCCAGAGCTTCTCTCTCTAAGCAGAGACATTGTCAGAATTTGGCTTACACTCTCGAGCCCTACCTCTGAGCCAGAACCCATGCGCCGCTTCTTTCAAACTTCTGACGCGCTTCCTAACCCAGGAAATAGAATTAACACCTCGGCCTTCAAGCTACGGTCCCTCAGTGCCGGCCGCAGCTGCGCCCAGCCCGGCCCAGGCCCCTCAAGTGCTCTAATCCTGACGGAAGAGAGAATAAAACTGAGACTTTGCAGAGCCTCCACTCAACTTTTACACAGCACATGTTGAGTTTTAGCCTCTCTTCCCACTCCCCGCCATCGCGCTACCCAGTCATCTCAGATGTCATCGGTCTGTGCTGGACGCTGTTGCCAAAAACCGCTGAAAGAAAATGAAAAACCATCAATCTCCAGTGACAATCTTCAGACATGTTTGTCACAGTTCATTTTTACTTCTTCAAATAGTTTTGTTGACTTGTTGATGCTTTTGGTCTGTATGGCTCTTTGTAAAGCCATCGCACCAAGCTGTTTGACACTCTATTGAAAATAAATGAAGAAGGAACTGGGCCTGCACTTAGTCAGACGCTGCCATTCATTGTATGTATACCATTTTTAGTAAGGATTTATTTAATCTCGGAAGAGTTTGTAGACAGTCAAGTAGACACTTGCCATAGATCATACATATCCCCCCTTTTGTCCGGCAATGTGGTATTACCCATTCTCCAAGAGCTCTAACAGAATACATATGTACTCAGTGTAAAACGTGTTGCTGACCATGAGTGTTTTTAAGTATGGAGCCTTTTCCTATGTCAAGCAGACAGTAAATTAAGGAGGGCAAAAGAAAAGTGGATTATCTGTTTATTAGTTATTTTATGTGGGCTATATTTCAAGAGTAATGGTTCCTGGGATTCACTGGTCGAAAGAGCAGGCTATCTGTTTTCTTCATTAGGTGCGGAGTTGCGCACACAGAGATTAACCGGTTCCTGGCTTTAAGCACCCCATGTGTTTGCATTTTAGCCACACATTATGGATTCCCAGGGGTAGCTTTTAAGCACACTCCCCAGGGGAGGACCATAAAACAAAAAAAAAAAGTAGTTTTCTCATAATCGTCCCCTGCTGCACGATAGAGAAGCCCCTTCTCTCTCACACATGCCTATATATGTTTCATTTGTAATAGTCTGATAAAATACATCACTGTTTCATGCTTCTGGAGCTGTGTTACAAGGCAGAGCTCTGGGGTGTTTCTCAGATGTGTTTCTTCTGGCTGAAGTGGACCGTGACCCTTGGTGATCCACCTGTGGACTATTGATTGAGCCAACAGATTCTGATTCTTGAAATCGGAGCAAATTTAATAGCCTTCTCATATGTTGAATGATGTAAAAGTTGATGTTCTTGGGCTTGATGAAGCGCAGGAACTGTGTCTCTGAAAGGTCTGGAGGAGTGGACTTCTCATCTAAGAAATGACGGCATGCCTTCTTAGGAAAATATCTGGCTTCCACTAAGCTCCTGACCAGAGTTAAATAGAAAAGTGGGATTTCTATTTTTATTATTATTATTATTTTTAAGTGATATAGAGAGGAATGTTTACTAAAAGCCTGTTCACAGCAAGTATATTTTTTTTTGTTTTTTTTTATTTTGAAAGAAAAATAGTGATTATCGACGCGTGGAACCTTCAAGTCTAAGTATTTCGTTAAGTATGGGAAGCTAATGGTTTGCTGTTCTCTTTGGCAGTGTACGAAGTAGGAAAGTCCCAGATAAACAAATAAGCATACAAACAAACCAAAACAGTCACTATGTTATACTAATGTACTCGCTGTCATTCTCAGCCGTGCATGTATTTTACGCCACATATTTTCTTTAACCTTTGTCATTTTTATTGTATATAAGCTTGTGCACTACCACAAGCAATGTGAGATGTTCTTCTGCCATCTTGATGCACTTTTGCTTGGACTACAACCATGACAGAGTTCTGATTGGTCAGCCAGGTGTTTTGTGTCCCCCGCCTGAGGCAGAGACAAGATTTAAGATTTTTTTATTCAGAATATAAAAATAGAAAGTAACAGTAAAACAGTTTTGATTTTGGAAGCAGATGATGGTGAGTTCTTTTCTGTCCCTTCTTCTCGAAAATGTACTCAGCATCACCAGCTAAAGTCAACGGAATATAAACCAAATAACATACATACATTTTTATTATTTAACAAAAGCATAGTAATAACATTCTGATCTGCCTTCAGGGGGTGTTTGATTTCTGGACCCAGTGAATATCAACAAACAAATAATGCCCAGTAAAGCTATTATGACAATCAGGTAGATCCTCAACAGCGTCAAAGTACCTCAGACAGAGGGAACAAAGTCGGCTAGCCTCGAGAGCAACTACCACTGAAACTAAGACGAAACAGAGTCAAAATGATGTTGAAACAGAGACAAGACAGTGACCATTAATTTACAGTCTCGAGGCCAGACTCCAGACCGAGACCAGACTTGAGTAGTACAGCACTTGGCATACTCAGCTACGCTGAATGTGTAACTACTGGTTCGGTGAAGATCTTGGAATGATTAGTGACTCTTCAGGCATGAAATGTTTCTGATTGTGTAACGTGTAATATGAGCTGTATTGCAGTATGTGGCCATACCTTGGTACTTTCATGCACTAATTGATTGTCCTTCTTTGTTTTCCACAGTACTTTGAGGTTCCCTTTGACTCCAATATGAACCGTACGAAAAACAGACCACTGGTCCGAGGACAAATAAGGTAAGTTTCACTAAAAGCTATGTTCCTAAATTTTGAGTGAATTTGAATTAAATGCTCATCCAAAATAATGTAAACTCAAAGTCAGGTTTTGGGATGCAGCAATGCAGATGGTGATGTGTAATCGTTTATGAAATGCAAATCCAACTAGATTTATGTTTGAGAGAAATCAAACATTTCAGTAGAGTTTCAAGTGCAGTAAAATTAATAAAATGGCGACATTTTAACGTAGTAGCCAAGCATCGCCCAAACATTCTGTTCTTCTGGAGTACAATAAATAAAATAAAATGAACAAAAAAAAACAACTAGATATTGGTTTGAAATATCTGTCCAATGCTGATATTTTTATTTATTTTATAAACAAGCAGACTTATGATGTGATATCATTGTGCGTCAGGTTATTTGCTGCTGATTTTCTTCTTGTGAGTTTCTATTAGTTAATTACTTATTTTTGAAAAAGTTTAGGCAATGTTTAGGAATCTTAGATTTAAACACAATTTGTAGTTTTCTTGCTTCTTAAGATTAATAATAAAGTATTTACTGAAATCTGTACAATGTAAAATAGTTTAAAACAATCAGCAAATACTTTTGACTGGTACCGTATTTTATCTGTTCTATTTCTTGTCTCTTGTTGCCTCAACCTCATTCCCTCTTTTACTTTCATCTGTACCTCTCTTGAACCTTCGTATGTTAAGTGTCTCTCTTGCTATCAGGGGTCTCATTGTAATAACTCGGTCCTGAATAAAACATGAGCTGCTAAGCTCCATTTGCTGCCATATAGCTTCTCCTTTTACACTAAAGGATTCCAGTGTAATGTCTAGAGAAGGTTTTGCCTGCCGGTGTCAGTGACATTATGCCCAGCATTTCTGAGCTGTGCTGTTCGCCGCTTTCACACCTGTCTTGCAGAACCCGATACAGGTGAACGTGTGGAGGTGAGCTGCCGGAGCTGCTCTTTATGACCCCTGCTAATACCAGTGGAATTCTTCTGTTTATGTGCAGCCAAACACAAGTTATGTGTATACACTGGCTAATCAGCTCTCGACATTATCGCTGCTTGAGTCAAAGGCAGGGCACAATCACATAAACACACACACTGTGATGGACAGCTTTTACTTGTAATCTCATTTGTTAGCAGATTCTGATAGTAGAAGCCCCCTTGACCCCCCCTACCACCCCACAGTCTTGACTCACTTTCCAACTACAAAGAGCAGATTAGTCAACATGGGAAAAAAATGACTGACTTCAAAAGTCAAATGAATCCAAACAGTCCACATTGCACAGCTAGCTAAGGCCGGCGCTGTGTGTGGTTATTGAGTACACACCCAAGACGCCATAAGACCACAGTGTCTAAGAAGATTCATTTCACAGCACTTCAGTTTGCTTTTCTCAGAAAGATATACCATCACCGCTTTTGAAGACATTTTCCCAAAACATGATGCGTCCAAATATTTTGCTCTTTCATTCAGTAGCACCACGAAAAACGAGTGCAGTGATTTTTATTTAACGTTTCACATACTGCACTGCACAAAATCCAGTCAAACAGGACTATTTATGCTCTATTCGTAATGAATTGTAGTTGATCATCGTTCTTTTTAAGTACTGACAACGTCTACTGTATTCTCAGAAAAGCATATTGTAATGTGATTTATTGTGATAATAATAATTCATCTTATACAACAGTTAGTTTCGTACAACTTTTAGACTAACTGTATTATTCCGCTGAGCACCAGTTGCAGCTAACCGCTCCTGAGTATCTATTTTAGCATATACAAGAACAGAAAATGGATACATTATCTTTTATATTATCTTCTATAAGATAATATTTGACCTGAAGCCTGTTTGGTCAGATGTTGAAGTGTGTATGTACATATATAAACCTGAAAAAAATATTCTTTGGAGTTTTTTGAGGGTGAATTGACAGTATTAAAGGAATGATTTGTTGAAAAATAGTTTGCACCAAATTCCACTTGCCCCAGATGTAGTCAGCCAAGACATGTTTGGTGTCCAGATTTTGCTTCTTTAGGTCCACGCTTGAACAGTGAGGCTAATGTTGCTAACAAACACTAGATGTCAGATGTCATCCAAATCCCTAAATACATCCCTAAAAGCTCTTAATGCTTCCAGCTCTTCATTAAGGTTATGCAGACTTATTGATGTGGTTTAGAACACAGTATGACTTACTGTGAACTTCAGCAATGATCAAAAAATTGCAGCGTAGCTGAATGCTGCTAGCAGTGGTTTTAGGCAGATGTTGTGCCGAGTTCTGCCTCCCCCACCAAATCCTACTTCTCTTCACATGCATGCATGTCGTGCAGGCATATGGATGTAAGATTACATTTGCAGTGTCTGTTTTGTCTATTTTTAACACATCTTTAGTTTGAAAAATCAAAGTTTATACAGTGATCAAATGTAAACTGTAGCATCAATACGTCTGCATGACGTCAGAATTCTCCACAATGTCCAGTTACACTGAGGTTTTCGTGCATTTTGACAGTTCACAGTAACTCATTGTATTCCAAACCACATCAACAAATCTGCATAACCTTAATGTAGAGCTAAATGTGGTTTGAGCTTGTTGAGAGAGGTTTTGGGGATGTATTTATGGAAAAGATTTCGGTGACTATTGACTTTCACTGTTTGTTAGCAATGTTAGCATTGTAGCTCCAGCACTGAACTAAAAAAAGCAAAGTTTGGACACCAGTTTTGTCTTTGTTGATCAACTACATCAGGGGTAAGTGGAAAATTGTGTACATTTGAATTTCGACGAGCCTCAGCTTACCTGTGCGAGTCTGCTGAATGCCATTGCTCTGCTCTCCTCTAGACCTCCTCCAACCCTGCTGTCTTTTTGAATAGCATTTCTAAGAGCAGAAATAAAGAGATGAGCTGATACCTGCCTTCTGTTAATCTCCAGGTTTTAAAGTTAAGCTTTGCTACGTCTGGCATTTGGAGATATCTCCTCTGAGATACTTAATTGTGGTAAAGATGAAGTTAAATCCACAGCTCAGTGAAAAGTTAGCTTAGCTGTAGGATTAAGGACTCTTAGTATAAGAAGTTCTGCTGTTGAACTGTTGATGGTTGGAATGGAGTTCTTGATGTGTGTGTGTGTGTGTGTGTGTGTGTGTGTGTGTGTGTGTAAGTAATGATCTTTGGTCCATGTACAGCTAACGCCCATTAACAAACAAAGGCACACTTGCACAGGCAACAGTGCAAACACAAACGTCACCTTCCAAACGTATCATTAGATTCATTAGCCCTGAGCATGGAGCAAACAGTTTACGCAAATACAAACACTCAAAGTCAACCTTCAGGATGACAGGCCTCAGCCTCTCCTCCTCTGGAGCTGAACTCTCCTTTGATGTCTGCTCAGATGTGCCGGGTGACGGTCATACTCACATTACCTCATGTTATACCAGTCTGCAAGCTCAGGCTCTTATCTAGAGCAAAGCTAAAGGAGGGAGGAAATGCAGCTTTGTTCTTTTAGGCCACTGATTGTATATTGATCTTTTTTTCTTCCACCATTATTTTTAATTCTTACCAATCCTGAGAACTTGCAGAGTTATAAGTAAAAAGTTAAGTTACCTGTTCAAGCTTTTCCCAAATAACTGAATTTATATAATAATAAGATTTAAATATCTGTTGTAAATTATTTACTGTGGACATATAACTTGGCCACTATCTTCAAATCATCATTACAGTGGAGAGAAATGACAGAAACAAAGCTAGCTAGCAACGTACCCGGCTATCTAGATACCTTACCTCAGTTTGTCTTCTTTTCTTAGACTGAAAGGGTTAAAACGTGTCTCGTCTCTTGTGCTGACTAAAAGATAGTCACTTATTTCTTTATATTTTGTTTGACGACTGAGGTAAGTTGCACTAATGCTAGCTTGGATGTATTTATTAGCATATAGTTAAGTGGTTAGACTAAGGCCCAGTCCCATTTCTTATTTTTACCCATACCCCTTGTTTTCGAGTGTCACCTTGCCCGTTGGAACTGGGTTGCAACGGGTAGTGGTTGAAATCCTCCCCTACAAAATGGGACCCTCAAATAAAGAGGAACATTACTACATTAACAGACTACTGTCGCTGCTCTGTAGGTGACCCTGCCAGTCTGCAGTGATAGCAGAGGAGGGTAAAGTTCAGCAACCTCACTGCTGGTCTTTAGTTACATTTAGGGCATCATATGTCTTTAAAGAGGGGGGATGTGACCCCCTAATTCTTCAGTGATACGAAGCTGAAGTCAGCTATTCGCCAGCTTTTTGTTCTAATTTTCCTGTTTCACCTTAAATGGAGCAGCACTTACATTCTGGCGCTTCAGGCGTCAGGACTGCTGGACTGTTTAAGGTGAAATGGGAAATTTAGCTAGCTACTGAGACATTAGCATGCTGTTAGTGATTTGTTTTTTATGCTTGTTAATATAATACAATGGTTATCGTAGTTTTTTAAACTTACATTTGGGTTTCTTTGCACAGCCATGTTGCTGGGTTTTCTTTTTTCACGTAACACTCGATTTGGCGTGTGCCTCTGTTCGGAAGGCCATGTAGCCCTAACACTTCACCCTAACCCTCTATCTCAACAAAAAATGGGACACCCTACTCCTAGGCGTGAACGGAGGGCGAACTAAGTGGTAGGGGCGAAGGGTGAAATGGGATCGGGCCTAACAGTGAGGATTGGTTGACACCACAGGGATTCCCAGTAGTTGTATGATGTATTTGCATAATATATACTAGGGTAGGTATCATAGTATGAGAATGTTGATGAATGAAAACATATAAAATCATAGAAAATTATGCTGAATGGTGAGCTATGCTACTTAATCCTGCCTATCATGACAATACATTAAACTAGTTTTAGGCCAAAGTGCCCTTTTAATTGTACTCCCCCCCCCCCCTTTTGAGTACTACATACTGCTCACATTATGATGTGCTTTTTGATCTTTTAGACAAAGAGGACAAGTTTCAACATTTTAGTTGAGCAAATCTGATCAGCATCACATAGGAGAGGGGACTGGATGACTGGTCATTTAGCTAGATTTTACTCTAAAATTGATGCTGGGGATGTAACTTCAAAGTAGTTTAATGCTTTTACGAAAGTAGTTTTAGAGTAACTGAATCCTCTTCTCCCTGTGGGAGAGAAAATACAGTTGCCAGTTGTTTATATAAGTAGCATCAAGATGAATTGGGAGCGTTACGGGCTGAATATTTCACAGCATATTGAAGACATTTGTGCCATGTGATTCATAGACTTTCTAGAAGTTGTTGAAACTGTACCAAGACAGTGATTGAGGGCAGTGCGTGATATTTAGCGTGGTACAAAGGAATACCAGCCTAGTGCACAAATTGAATTACCATGTAACTTCTTTATGATTGTTGTGGCTGGAAAAGTAACTGAATACATGTGCTGGGAGCAGCATAGTCCTAAAACCTGGACAATGTGAGCACCTCAATGACATCACAACACAAAGCATTCTCAAGTTGGAGTCAAATGCAGTTGGACCCACTTGGTTCCAGTGTGAGGCAGTGCTAACTGTAGTGCTGTTCGTGTGTAGTATATTTGTTGAAGGTATATTTTTGAGTACTGTGCAAAAGTCAGAGACCACTCTTCATCTATTTAATTTATAGTAAAAATGATCATTAAATACAAATATTGCTTTATTCAGCATCAGAAAAAAAGCAGAAAACACATGTAACAGAACACAGATATATCAACAGTTAAATATATCATATGTTTCAGTATTTAGTGTGTCCACCCTTTGCCTTTTTTACAGCTTCCATTCTTTTCAGGAGACTTATTTAGATTTTTTTAATCTGTTGCAAGAGTGGAGCTTGATTGTCCTCCATTTGTTTATAGTGTTGTATATTTATTTAGTTTAATCTGTTGGACTTTTTGTTGTGATGACGTGAGTCCATGTGGTGTTTTGGTCCAGCAAAGCAGAATGTTTCTACTTCAGTGATTTAGAAATGCAAATTATGACCACTTCAGCATCTCTGTGTCAAATTAGGATTCAAGGTCTTCTTTTCATCTGCTTACATAGACCAGTATTGTGACTGGAAAGACATTAGCCCCTCAGTCATCGCTCCCTTTTCAAGCATGTGACTATATAGCACTATAAGTACACATGCACACACTCAAAAGCCCCAGCACCACATAAAACAGTCATAACAGCAGTAATCGCATTAAAGTGGAATCTCCTGCAGTAGAGCAGAAAAGGCCCCCTCTTTTCTTCTCCCCCATCCTTTGGTCCCTATCTAGATCCCCCTTTAATTTATGGAGTATTTAGCTGTGAATTTGAACCAGGCGTTTGTGCTGGACTGCGTTGGCTGCTTTTAATAAAAGCCTAGCGGATGTGCCTATCCGGTGGAAGCGTGGTTAGGCATGGTTTGATCTGCAGCACGCGCCCAAGCCCTTTGTTTCACTCGCACACTCAGCACACTTATCACAGCAGCTGCTCTCAATTTCTTCTGTTATTTTATTTATTTTTTTTTTTAACGGTCTTTCTCTCAGTCCATAAGGTGCACATTATGTTTGTATCAAGGTGTGCCCACGTTAATGTTTTTAGGAGCTTATTCAACGTGTTACAGACGTGTGATTGGTGTGAAGGTGAAGTCAGATCACCCTGTGTACGCTCTTTCAGTTGTGTTTTGGTTTTATGTAGATCAGCTAATCCACATCAACTTCAACCTAAATTGCATAAAAATATTTTAATGATCTAACAAAGTTTTTCATCTCTCTCTCTCTCTCTCTCTCTCCCTCTCTCTCGCTCTCTCTCTCTCTGTTTCTCAGCCCCCTCCATGCTGTGTCCTTTGCTCTGGCATGTGGTATCCCGGGTGTGACCCTGTTGACCCTGGCTGTTAACCCCCTCACTGGTTTCCTGGGGGCACTGAACATCTTCCTGTACACTTGCTGTTATACACCTTTGAAACGCCTCAGCATCACCAACACTTGGGTGGGCTCAGTGGTGGGAGCCATACCCCCTATCATGGGTTGGACCGCTGCTATGGGGACCCTCGATCCAGGTTCGCCCAAAAACACATTTCACGCATATTGACACACATTACAAATATGATTTATCATTGTCATAACTGTTATTTCATTCAGTAATAACTTGCATAATTTAGGTTGAAATACTATAAGCTAAACATCAAAAAGTATTTTATTCAATAATTCAACTTTTTGGGGAATAACGAGATGGAAAATAATGAAAAATAATACTGCGTTTATCTATTTACTGTAATTTACAGTAGATTTATCACTTTTTAAAATACAAGGCTTTCTGGATGTTCATTTTATTACAACTTCATTCTTGATTTATTCTTATTTAGCCTTCTCATTGTCCATAGCTTGGTTTATCATTCTGGACAGCTCTAAAATGTACTTTACGTCTTTCTACAAATTGGTCAAAACCTATGATGTTATACAGTATTGCCATCTCAAATGAATAATTCTATATATGTAACTGCAACAAAATTGGTTTTATATTAAATACAGTAGTGAATCTAGACTTTGGAACAGTAGTATGTATTCCTTTATACGTCTTAGATCAGTTCTGTAGTGCGTGCAGACAATGTAATCATTACTTCTTCAACACCTACGATATGTTTTCAGTATGCTGCCTTTCTTCAATGCAGTGTGTCATAGGTGACACTACAAAGGGTTTTGCTGCAAAGCTAACGCTCAAGTAATAACAAGGTGTCAGGAAGCGCATATTGTTTCAGTTTCTGAAGTTTCTCTTGCCTTTTTTGGCAAAGAAGCAGTTTTCCAGTTTTGTAATGTCTCTCTCATATTGCCATATTTGACCCTGCTCTAGCAGTCTTCACTGCTCTGTATAATGAGCTGTAGAATCAGTTTTAGGGCTGATAGACTGTGGTCATATCTCTGCTGTGCCGCAGAGTCCAGCCTGGTGTTTGTATTGAAAATATAAATAATGGGTGCCTCATACCATGCCATATTCAGACATGATCATTTATAGTGGTTGGTTGTTAAGTTTGCCTTATTGACATCCATTTATAATATTTCAGCTTTCCATTTGTTAACTGGCATGTATATTCGTGTATTGAGGGGGAAAAAAACATTGTTTACATTGAATAATCCCTCTGACCTGAGGTCACTGTCCGCCCAGGAGTGTTTAATATACGTATATCCCAGTATTCCACTTGATTTTAGGGCTTCCTTCCGAAACTCAAGTGCTTTTTGGAGGCCTGTGCATTTGTTAACAGAGTCAAGTGTGTTTCTATGGAAACTATAAGTTGAGGGCAACCAGCTGAAGTGTGTACGTGCAAACATCTATGTTTCTGTCAGACATGAATGAGACTGACTTATAAAGGACACCCATTTCCTGCCCTTTTTAATGAGTTTGGCTGTCTTGTGTTTTGTCCTGTACATCTCACAGTAGTACATTTGTAGTGACAAGTTACTCTCTTGTTTCATCTACTTAAGGACCGGGTTAATGGATTTGGACTTGTCTATTTCCAAAGGATACTTTCACTTCTAGTGAATTGAATATATAAGGAAGGGCATCACCATTTTCCACAGTTTTGTTCACATCACATTTAATTGCATTAAATTGTATTCACTTCTGTTCTCATTTCATTTCGTTCTCTTCTGTTGAATCAGCACCTGGGCAGCTTTCCCCGTGCTCACAGCTAGTTTTGAAGCTTTAGCATTTCACTTTAGACTAAAAAGAGGAGAACAGCACCTTACAAACTATGTCGATAGTTGCTTTACTACAAAGTTTCCCTGCAGTTCGGTAGGTAACTCAGAAGACTACTTGAGTTTTTCCACCTTTTTTTCATTCAGTTTGACCTGCTTGAGTCATTATTTACTTAAGTGTGGATTTAGGCTACTCTGTCCACCTCTGCTTTCCAACTACTGTGGCACAGCAACACCACTGAACCCTGGCCACTGTCTTATTTTATTTTTTTTTTATAAATCCTTCACCTCTTTAAGAAGGAAGTAATCTGTTAAACCAAAGTGAAAATGTTGATGCAGTTGGCTGAAGCAGCATCTTTTCATTTATGACAGGATAATCCCGTGATGACCAACAGGATGCTGAGCACGCAGAGCCTAATCTCTCTTCTTTTGCTTTGCTGTCACCTCAGACCCTATAACCCCTTTTTTCTGCTTTCTTTGGCGAGGAGCCATCTTTGGGGCAATGTGTCCCTCCCATGTTGACCTGACCGTCTTCTCCTGACCAGCTTTAGAGTTTCCATCATTGAAAAGAGAAATAGCAGAACGGGTCTCAGGCCAGTCTAAGAGGGCAGCAACACACAGAGCCTGTGCGAACTTCACCCCTGTGCTACTTGCTACATGGTTTGCGGTGGAAATACGAGCTTAGTGTTTCAGATCCTTTGTTTTCCCTGAGGATTTAGCTACAAGTGTGTTTACACAAGCACACACACACGGGCACACACACAAAGTCAGCGCTGCGTTTCACGCTCTGGTGCCCGAGCGCTGGTTGTGTGGTGTTGCCTTACGTTTCTGCCGCCTTTCTCCTCTGCAGGGCCCGAAACCTGAGCAAGGAGTGTGTAAAAATTTACTCAAGTCTCTCTTTCTTCCTGTTGTTTTCTTGCTCTTTCAGGCTTGGGCACTGTATCGGAAGCAGTAGGGTCATTCTGGGATACTTGGGTCCTTAACAGTCCTGAGTCACAGCTTTTTGTCCTTCTTTTTTCCCCACATCTGAGTATTTTCTCTCTCTTTCTTTAGCACTCTTGACTGTGAGCTGTGACTAGTTTTACCAGCGGAGGTTCTGTAATGTAATTTGTGGTCAGTTCATATGAGAGAGGGTCTCATTGGTCAAGACATAATCTCATGATGATCATGTCTGGGGGGGGGGGAAGACAAATTTTGGCCTAAATGTGAATGCAGATTTATTAGGATAGGAACAAACTGAGTGAGAAATTTCTTAACCAGTCCAACACCGGGTGAAGACAGAGCTAAAAGTAGGAGGCAATGGTGCGCTCATTCACATTGTCCAGAGGACAACAAGCCTGTCGTTAGCCCATGGATGTAATGTAAGTTAGCATAGCTGAAAAATCCCCCCAGTAAACTCCAGTTAAGCATGTCTGTGTGTCTTGTTTGTGGAGAATATATTGCAGCCGTCTTGCTAGGTAGTTTGTTTTGCTTGTGTTGTACCCTGGACTGGACTATAGGAATTTGGGATGGAATTTAGAGGGGGTTTGACCTTGTTAGTGGTGGATATCGCTTCAATGGAACACCAAAGTTTAACAAGTTCACCCATTGAGACTGAGATAAAGCATCTTTGCGTGATCCCTTAAATTTTCACTGATAGCCTGGACTAAAAGGTCAAAGTCTGGATATAAACATCAGCGTTACACCACAGGCAACACACTCAATGACAATAACAACACACCACACAGTAGTGTGTATTTGCATGTGTTATTACATTAGCGTAGGTTAGTTCAAACATTGCTGCTTTTACTGTGGGAGCTAAGAGTTCAGCCCACTCTAAAGAAGCCACACATTGTACTATATTAGTCACAGACCCCATCACCACTCACTTCAATTATGGTACCTCTCCAGGTAAAACTAACTCGGCTAGAGTAAAGCTGTAGGCTCTCTCTTTTCCTTTAGTGCCTGCAGGCCACTCATACAGGTCGTCTACCAGTCTGTTGTTGTTAATGCGCTCTTCTGTGCTGTAGTGTGTCGGAGGGATGGAATAAACACTGTTGAGGTGTTGTGATGCCAACAAAAACAACTAAATGATTAAGTCATCAGACTGGACTCATTGGAGATTGCAGCAGAACAAAGGACACTCATACTTGTAGCTGTCTTGCACAATCCTCTGCATGCCATTTCAGTTAAATAGAAGGGCACTCTCAACAATGGACTTGATACAGCTGCACTTTTCCAAAGAGCACAATTTGAGGTCGCTCTGAAGACCACAGTTAAACTCTGCAATAAGTCAGTCTATAGCAGAGGAGGTACTGACCTTTCTTCAGATGGTTTCTGAACTGTAATGTAGGCACTTTGTTCGTGAATATTAATTTTTAAGTATCTGGTACGTATTTTGTTAAACATTGTTATTTTGCCCATTATCTCATCTTGAACAATGTACATATGTGTAAAATCCAGTGACACATTTGTAAAAAATCTCAATGAGAACCTCAAGTCATCAGGGATGCAACTGTCCTATTGTGGGCTAGCTATTTTCAATTATAATATGAATAATGAACTAATCAAATCATTATGCCTTCTTTTCTCACAGCGCTGCCATCATTCAAAGTTCTGCCTGTGTGACAAACAATTTGATTGATGGTGCAATAAAACAATAGAAGCCATATCGCCTTCGAACTTCCTGTAGAAAGTTCTGTCAGAATAACCACATGTATCATAAGAAGGTTCTGAAGCATTACAAAGTAAACACGTCAACTTTACCATAATCAATGAGTTGTCATTCACTGAAGCCCTACAAATTTCTTGCATGCAAACAAACTTCTATAGCATAGCGTTAAACGGGAATTGCACCTTTTTTCCCCCCTCCATATTCAATCACGTTAAAGATGTATCAAAGTCATTCACTGTGGTTTGATCTGGAATGTGCCATTCAAGAGGAACTTACCAAGTCAGAATTGTTCACAGTGACACCCAAAGCGTTTAATGCCTTGCATTGTAAAGCAAAATAGCACCTAAAGAACACCACCATCCTCCTCTTTAGATAGACCACCATTTTACAGTTAGCAACATTGCATATAACAGTTCAGAAGACACGTTAAGGTTCATCAGTTGTATACGATGCAGCAAGCAAATAGAAAGACTGTTTGGGTTCCTAGACACCATAACCTCTGGTTCCTATTACCAGTTTTCTTTACAGTGAACTGTTTTATATCAAACCACTGAGTGACTGTTTACATCAGGAGAATTGAATTATCCAGAAATGTAAAAATAAATCCATGGTATTCCCCTTCAAGTCTCTTGTGAACATCAGTTTCATAGCTATATATATTTGCTACTTTAAACTTAATTGCTACTTCAGTTCTGCAGTTTCCTTCAACATCAGTAAAATTTCTGTCTTTTGTCTGTCTGTCTGTCTAGGTGCTCTGCTGCTGGGTGGTTTCCTCTACTCTTGGCAGTTTCCTCATTTCAATGCTTTAAGCTGGAACCTGCGAGAAGATTACTCACGTGGCGGCTACCGCATGATGTCAGTCACCCACCCTGCGCTGTGCAAGCGGGTGGCCCTGCGCCACAGCGTGGGTTTGATCGGCCTCTCCACTCTCTGCCCTGTGTTGGATGTCACCACCTGGACTTTCCCTCTGATCTCTCTGCCCATCAACCTCTACATCAGTTACTTGGCCTTCCGCTTCTACCGCCGTGCAGACCGACAGAATGCCCGCAAGCTTTTCTTTTGCAGTCTTTGGCATCTACCCATGCTGCTGCTGCTCATGCTGACCTGCAAGAAGCGTCGTCCAGTGCCGGAGGATGCAGTGAAGCCAGTGGACACCCCCCTAGCTCTGCAGAGTTAACCACAGCAGTGCCTCACTCCATACAGCTCTAGTCTATCATTAGATCAGTGGTTCCCAGTTGTACCCCTGCCCTGTTTATTGTTACTGTCATGAGAATACATTTCATCTTTGAAACAGTAACTTTATAGGTGAAGGAAATATCATTAGTATCCATTAATGTAGGTTATTGGACCATTTGTATTGGTCCAGTCATCAGTAAAACATAAAGTTTACATATTGTAAGACTGCTTGTGCTTTCAAATACTGTAGAAAAATAAACGTTAAGTTTCTTATGACAGTGATCTTACTTTGGTGTTTCCACTGCACTAATACACCCAACTAAAGTGAGTTGTGGCTGTCTAGAGCAGGGAAAATGCTAAAATGTGCAGGACAGGGGAACTCCAGGACCAGGATTGAGAACCACTGCTTTGACTCATGTTCTTCATTTTATGGCATTTCATAGAGGATTTCTGTTTTGCTTAAAGCCTTTGGATTGATCAGGTTAAAAACAGGAAGCTCCCAGTGGGCCAATGGCAATTCCTCCTTGTTGTTCTCAGGTGCTCTGATAGAGAAGAGAAGCCTGGGTTCCTTGGAGAATAATATCACTCAGGTCACTGGTGAACAAGTCAATGCAATGTATGTAAATATGTCAAATATTTATTTAAATAGCCACCCGCCCTACAGTAAGAGTCAGCAAATAAAATGAGTCACGCCTAACTGATAGACGATGGAATCCAAATCTGCTTCAGCTCTGAAGAGCTTTGAGTGTTTTACTGTAAACTGTGTTGAGTTCAGTCACAGCTCAGATACAATACCAAATGTTATATGTACTGTAAATTGGGTAGGAAGCCTTTGTAATGTGCTGCTTTGGGCTGGTTGTGGTACATAGTACTCCAAAACGAGGGAGCACCTCTCTGTCGGCTCTTGGAGCCGACCTTCTTCCATTGTACAATTTCTTCGTGTCATGATTCGCCTACATCTGACCTCAGTGCTTAAATAACCTGTGTAAGTCACAAAAGGACACGTGTTCTTTACAATAAAAATGTCGTATGACCATTGTTGGTTCTTGTGTTCGTTTTTGGGGAGCTTCCCTGTCATGTAGTGGTCGGAAAGGATATGGTGTGGATTTGTGCATCATGAGAAAAAGAGAAATTCAGTGGAGTCAATACTACATACTACTGTAAAACTACGTTTCTAATGTAACTTTGTTTGACTGACGAAAGCATTTATGGTTAAAGGACAATTTTCATTTATTTATTTATTTTTTTAATTCTACATAGTGAAATGGTTGATATGTCGTTCAGAGTGGATTGATGTGAAATGCTTGATTCAGGAAAATTTACCAAGTTCACAGTGGTGGTGATGGGAACCAAATATCTGAAGAGTTGAGAAGAGAAGGCCTCTTAAAGCTCCCTGTTTGAAAAGTGTGAGATTACATAGTTATCAACACACTACTTGATGCCTGAGACTGTCTTACATAGTTTTGAGAGTTTTTTTTTACTTTTTTTTTTTATTATCAATGTTACATATGAATCTCAGAATACACAAGTGGGTTCACTGGTAGTTTAGTAAATGAATAAAATAATATTTGCATTATACACAATACATACCCCTGGTTCCTATGACCACCAGTGTAAATGGATCTGAGCTACATTTCTCTACAAATGAACCGTTTCACTTCAAACCACTTTGAATGGCTTGGTTTACATCAAAATCCTTAAAATATTTTAAAAATCGGTGGAATTCCCCTTTGATACTCCATAAACTTTAGTCCTTCAGTACAGTGTATTGATTATTCAGTGTTTAATGTATTTCATCACACAGTGATTGCATGCTCTGTTTAATTAATACCTATTGTTAAAGGAGAATTCCATTTTTTCCCCTACATTCTTGCACATTTAAAACACTTAGATGTAAACAAAGTCATTTGGAGTGGTTTGTCAAGTAGAGAAACTTGGTGTTGATGGGATTCAGACGTCTGAAGAGAAAAAAAAAGTGGTTATGAATACTCTGCCTGATGCCTGAGGAATTGTTTTACAATAGTTTTGAGACTTTTTAGCTTTTGACCTATAATGTATTTTTAAAATCTATTTGTGGTGGAGGGATGCATGTAGTGTGTAAGAAAGTTTTACCCAAAATAACTTTTCCCCCCCCATTTTTACCACTGTTGTACCATCATCAACATTACATATAAAAACTTAGAGGACACCTGTAGGTGCGCTTCTGGTTTTTGAATGTAAATAAAATGGCTACATTTGTCGCAACCCCTGGTTCTTCTCACCACCATTGTAAAAGTAATCTGTAAGTTTCTCTACAATGAACCATTTAAAGGAGAATTCCACCAGTCATTCAAAATTTCTCAATAATATGGTCCTTGAGATGTAGACAGAGTCACTCAGGGTAGTTTGGTGTCAAATGGTTCCTTTTAGAGACTTTGTAGATTTTTCTTTGCAGTGGTGATGATAGGAACCAGGGGGCACCATGTCTAAAACACAAATATAGCCATTTTATTTACTATCCAAAACCACCAGTGAACCTACATGTCTTTTGAGCTTTTATATGTAAAGACAATGGTAAAATAGGCATAAATCTGAAAAATAAGTTTTCTTTTGGGGAATAATTTGCCTTAAAACACCCTGCGTGTACCAATCTGCCATGGATTAATTTAAATAAAAGGATTAAAATAAATTTTAAGCCAAAACTTTATCACAAAACAATGATAAAATTGTGTCTCAGACATCAGGCAGTGAATTCATAACCATTTCATTTCAGAACTTTCTGTGAGGGAGCTTTTACAGGTGGACGTCTGGTTCCTATCACCACCACTGTGAACAATTCTGACTTGGCAAGTTTCTCCAGAGCGGAGCACCTCACACCAGACCACTCTGAATAACTTTGCTTATATCTCAGCCATTTAATTATGTAGAATTTTTTGAAAAGTCGGTGGAGTTCTCCTTTAACATCAAACCACTCTGAATGACTTTGCTTACATCTCTTGAATTATGCTGACATTTTAAAAAATTGGTCCCTTTTAAGGGTCCCTTTTTCTCTAGCATTGTTCCTTTCATTTGCAATGGTCAGTGTTTTTAATAACGGTCTGCCTGAGGTAGTAACATGGCCACACAGTCTGTCCATAACGTCTCCTGTCCTCTGTCCCTGCTGCAGTGTGGTCCCAGCAGCAATCACTACATTCTAATCCACACTTGTTCCTGGACCTTGGATCTTTACACGCTCGTTTATTTCCTCCCTTCTTTTTCCCTCGTCTTTGTGGTCGTAACGGTGTCCGGCTGCTCTGGCCTTATTTGGCTATGGTGTCCCCCAGCGGGGTCTGTGGAGGATCGACCTCTGCACCTGTCCGGCTGCAACACATGATCCCCTCTTCCGCAGTTTCTCCTCAGACGTTCCCTGAGGTTCTCCTTCCATCAGCACCTCCGCTGTAGCTGACCACGTCCTGCAGGCCGCACTGCCCTCCTCCCACTGCTCTCTTCCACTGAGGGGATTTGACCCGGATGAAGGGATGGAGGGATAGAGGAATGTGAGTGAAACGTCCCCTCGTAAAAGGCCCAGGTCCGGAAATGGCCAGCACCAGCATGATTCATATGAGTGTTAGATGGAGAAAGAGAGAGAGAGACAGCTGTTCCTGCTGTGGCTGTAGATTGAATATCAGTGCCAGCCAGTCACTTTACCATAGTTTTATGACTGCTGGTGAGGTGCAAACAGCCAATACTGTACTCTTACTATGTAGCACTGCCCATTCTCACTGTACTACATATACATTTTCCTGGCTCTTTGTTTTTTTTTTTTACTCCCTGTCTGTGAATGTTTTTGCTGTTTATTGCATCTCTAACCTGCAGTTTTTGGCGAAAGGGTGCCATAAGAGAAGAATACTTCACTTCCAAGAAAAATGTGGGGCATATTCTGTGAAACACACATGAGGAGAGTTTATAAACGTTTCCCTGGAGTTGTATGAAGTGTGTAGAGGTAAGTGAGTTTATAATAATCTCCAGCTCATTTAAACTGGATTCTCATTAGTGTTGTACAGTAATGCTTTGTCTGATTTGTTATAATAGCAACAGGTGGAGCTCCCTTTATTACTCCCTAATTCAGCTTAGCATAGTTTATGTTTGAATCCTTTACAAATTCATTTTTTGGATATTTATCAGAATTATTAGAATTATAAGATTGTCAACCTTTGCAAGTCTACATACACTAAAGAAAAGGTGATATGTTTAATTTCACACATAATTCAGTCTTCTGGAATATATCATTAAAAACACTATGATAGTATCAAGAATTATAGTAATACTAACAATAAACAGCCTTTTCTATATATTTTTAAATATACACGCAAGGGGAGAGCACACTATCCTACTGAGCTAACAGTAGAAAAAGTATATGCGTATACTGTGGAAAAGTCAGTTCACCCTTAATTCAACCCTTAGAACCCTGGGATTTTTGAGGGATTGATTGTTTGATTGATTGATTGATTGATTGATTGCAATTGATACAATTGCAATTGGAATTATAAAGTATTTACATGTGAGAGTCCCACATGCCATATTTTCAGGAGACCCTGGGCTACTCAGATAAGCCATTATTTTACATGTAAATGCTAACAGAAATTTGATATCTTTATTATTTTTGGCTAATTTGTGATAAAACATTTATCAAGCGCCTGCAAAATTGTGTAATTTTTTGATAATAGAGATCTTAAAAACAACCTCTGATACCTTTTTCAGAAATTGTTAGTCTGGAGTGTCTGTGAGCTGAAAGTGCAAGAGTTTTGATGGTGATTCATTCTACTGGTTATTATTGAGTAAAAATAAAAAAAAATAGCATAAAAGGCCATGTTTTTATTGATTTTATGTCTGATTTTATTCATTTTTTGGATTCATGCTGAGTGCTAAAACTCTGATACACATCAAGACAGACTTTATTTTTAATTACAAATTGAGTTTCATATTTAATATCAGATTTAATAGATTTAATCAGGGTTAACTTCCACTCAAATCGTCCATTATTTAAAAAAAAAGTCTGAGAATAAGTAAAAAAACATGAATTCAACAGAAAATTGCAAAAGCATCAACAACTAATAATAATGTGTACAAGTGTTCAGAATTCTCGTCCACTCTTCCTTTTTTAGCCTGTATTCTTTAAAGAAATGTGCAGGGATGTTGTTTTTTCACTCCTCCGAAGTTCAGTCTTCTTTCAGAAGTTGTTGTTCTTCTCATGATGTGAAGCCAAACACGCTTAACGATGGGCTCCTTCTGAAACGCTCTGAGGTGCCTGTTATGTGTGTCATAGGGAGGAACATTTTTGGAGACTCTTTTGGAAACTTTTTTTTTTTTGCCCCATGAATTCTGGCCGAAGGCTGAGAGGTGTGAAAGGCGAATAGTTTCCTTTATGCGTTTGTAATTGATTTACTCCCGCTCGGCCCTCGGCTCAGATGAATCATGCTGCGGACTGATGGGTCATGAGCGGAATATTGCCGTTGTGTTTTAATGGCAGGCTGATGGATTGATCTGCGGGGAGTTTCTCTCTCCGGACAGCTCAATCACATCCGTCTCTGAGCGCACTTCACAGCTCGGGGTGCAGAAAGGCCACGAATGAGCTGCAGGTCTGAGCCAGAGTCAATAACACGGGCAGGAATAGGAGTTTAGGAGCTAAAAGAGCTGCCTGTCCGTCCACTTCCCCAACACCCTGAACACCCTGAACACCCTGAACACTGACCCCAACTAAAGCTGCTCGCTTTCTGCCCTTTAGTGCGGTGTGAAAACTCATCTACCCTGTTAGAAGTAAAGGTTCTGTGTGGTACATTTTTCATTCATCAAGGTACAAACAATGTACATGTTCCCCCAAAGGTACAGCAGTGGTTTTTAGGTCCACTTGTGTACCTTAAAAATGTTTTTTTCCAGTTTAAAAGTTCGTATTTGTACCTTTTCATAACAGAATGTTTTAAAACAAAACAATAAGATATAAAAGCCTGGAGACGAGACGGGGAGTGTGGAGACAATACAACTTAGAAAATATAATTTCAATGGATTATGATACAGTTATGTTCCCTGACTAAAGGCACTGAGATGTATCCTGGTAAGTACCACCCCACTGGCAAGAGGGGTCCTGCCCCAGTGGCAGTTTAGTACCTTTATTTCTGAGAGTGTATTAACATTTATAACTGATCTATACCAATGTGTGTGTGTGTGTGTGTGTGTGTGTGTGTGTGTGTGTGTGTGTGTGTGTGTGGAAGAAATAGAATGAAATATTATCAGAGTTAATATATTTCTTAAAGAAAGTTTCTTTAGAAATAAAGTTTCAGAAGTTTTTATAAGTTTTGTTTTTCCTTTATAAAAGAAACCTCTAATTATTATTATTATTATTATTATTTTGCCAAGTCAGCGTATATAGGGCGCTTTCTGAACCTTTGAGGGTCTTAAGCAAGGTTCTGCTTGGGGGTCCCCACCCAAATCATATTATTATTATATGCAATAATGAAAACTAATTAATACTTTATTGGTTCATTAATTTCGGTCAAGAAAAAAAAATGTAATGAGCGCTTATGTAAACATAATAACAACAACTATATACGGAGGAAATAATCTTTAAAGTACAAAAAAGTGATCAATATACATAAATATATAAATACATAAATATTAGTGATATTTGTGCTTTTGTAAATAAAAGTCATCACATGATATATTTCTGCTATCGTGACTGACAGACAGTATTAAAAAAGAAAGAGAAAAACACAACTAGGTGTTTCATGGGGTCTCTTGTTGCTCGGGACCCTCAGTGAGCGCTAATTAGGCTGGTAAGAAGCGGCTCTGAGTGAGTGCGCTGTGTCGCTGTGTCGGAGTTTCCTCTCCTTCACGCTGTTGTCTCGATAGTTGTTCTGAAGTTTCTTCTTCAAGGTGTTTAAAGTGAAGCTCTCGCTGCTTCTCTCTCAGAGCAGAGCGCTGCACGTGTTTCATTTAAAGTCAGAGGTTCTTTATGTCTGCCTTGTTTTGATGCTCTGTCTGTGATCTATGCGGTGGTTCAGAGGAGCAGCAGATTCAGCAGACTGTACAGAGAGCAGCTCTTCAGGACTCACGATTAGAAGATTATTCACAGAAATGAACACACGTGCTGTGTTTCTCAGACTTGGCGAGTTAAATCAGCTCCAGCGCTCAGATAAACTCCACACTCCTCACTTCAGTGTGGACTTTTATTTCTGTTCTTTAATATCGAAACCAATGTGATAATGAAGTGAACATCAGCCTGAAAACCATTCCTGACCATTTAAAGCTTCATTCAGGAGTCCAAAAAGCCCTTTCAATAATAATAATAATAATAATAATAATAATGATAATAATAATAATAATAATAATAATAATAATAGAAGTGAATGGGGCGACACTTTCTTTTCTAAATGTCTGGATATTATTAATGCGTCAAATGAGGATAATAAAACAATCAAAACTAACATTATGTTACTAAAATGGGCTCAATATTATAGAAATTAGCGTTCGACATTATTTATTCAACTTCAGGATTACAAGTTTTTTAGCTGAAGGTCCGGTTTGTAGATTTACTGTTGTTAATTAATAAACTTTCTATCGCTTATTAAACTTATTAACACACACTAATGAATAACAAACAGACTCAGAGATTCAGAGAACTCATCTCAGAGATTAATCAGACGTGTCTGTGTATATTTCTCTCTTTTAACCATCTGCTTCATAACTTCTTCACTTCAACAGCTCTCTCTCTCTCTCTCTCTCTCGGTGTTGAGTTAAACGAATGCCCCGCCCCCGCCCCCGCTGATTGGTTTATGTCGACCAATAGGCCAGAGCAGCATTTCTAAAGACACGCCCATCATTCCTCACTTTTCCAAAACTTTCTGAAGTTTGGATTTGGAGCTCAAACATGGAGCCTGACACTCGTTTATCTCTCTCTCTCTCTCTCTCTCTCTCTCTCTCTCTCTCTCTCTCTCTCACTCTCTCTCTGAGTGTGTCTCTCTGTCTCTCCCTACCTAACTTTCTCTCTCTGTCTCTCTTTCTGCCTTTCTGCCCCCCCCCCTCTCTCTCTCCGCAATCATAGTACAGTAATATAAATATATAATAAATCCTGATTCTGATTTTCTGAAGTTGTTTGTATATATTTATGACTGACTGTAGTGATGTAATTCTGTCTTGTTCCAACATAAATAAGTAAATAAATAATATTTCCATATTATTTATTTCCATAAATAATATTTCCTTTAGGTCTCTTTAACGTCTGAGTGCATAAACACGTTGGATTTTATTATATATACTTATTTTTACTTCTCGCTCACTAAACAGCTTCCTCCTCACCTTTCCACTCCATTATTATTATTATTATTATTATTATTATTATAAGGCTATATGAGGCTAAGGACTTCTAAGGACTGTGGGCTGGTAGTGAGTGCTGCGAGCCGCTGGCCAATCAGCGCTGGAGGGGGCGGAGTTTGTGTTGAATAAAGAACTAAGTGAGTAGGCTGAGTGCGCGAGGCTCTGCACAGCGCAGTGGAGAATCAGAGGAGGAGCGGAGCGGAGCGCTCGAGGGTTCTCAGCAGCGCTCGCGTGCACCATTCGGTGATTATCAGTGACAGTAACATTATCAGTGTCCTCACCGCGAGTTTCCTGCCGAAGTCTCGCGCGCGTGGAGCCGAACCCGCGTTAACTTCACTCAGCGGGTTTGCGTTTTGTTTTTGTTTCTTTTTTAATTTATTGCTTATTATTACTGCTGCTTTGATGGCTCGTGCGTCCTGAGGCGCCCCTGCACGTGCATGCGGATGGAGTCCCGCCGGAGCGCGAGGGCTTATGGGATATAGTAGTAGCGGGGGTCCTGCGGGCGCGGGTCCTGGGCGGCGCAGCAGGCAGCTCGCGCTGGCGGGCAGCAGCATGCTCGCGCTGTGGCTCTACGCGCTCTACTCGTGCGCGGGACACTGCGCCACCGCGCCAGCGCACGAGCGCGCGGCACCTCCTGTCGCCGCCGCCGTCGCCTCCTCCGCCAGGCTGCGCGCACGACCCGAGCTCTACTACTACGACAGCGCGAGCGAGAATAACAATAATATCAATGACAATAACGTCGAAAGCGCAGGAGAGATGGAGCGCGGCGCGAGCGCGCTGTCCAGCCTCGCGAGCGGAGCGGGCTTCAGGCGCCTGCCCCAGGCCCTCATCATCGGCGTGAAGAAAGGAGGCACGCGCGCGCTGCTCGAGTTCCTCCGCGTGCATCCAGACGTCCGCGCGGTGGGAGCGGAGCCGCACTTTTTCGACCGAAACTACCAGAACGGACTGCAGTGGTACAGGTGACCACTCTTCATTCACTCTATCAGCAGAGTTATTCATGTTCATATTCATATTATTACAGTTCCGCTTGCAACTAATAACACGGACGACTGATAATGTATAAACAGCAACTATTTGTTTAATTATTAATGTTATTAGACCACAACTATCACTACGACCCCCTGCAGTTAGTGTTAAATAAATAAATAAATAAATAAATAAATAAATACAAATAGAACGGACTGAACTGGTGCCGGTAACTAATGTAACTTTATTATAATATATATTATTAAATAACGTACATATTATCATTATTATTATTATTATTATTATTATTATTATTATCATTATTATTATACTACTACTACTACTACTACGTGACCATATTCACACATATTATTATTATTATTATTATTATTATTATTGTTGTTGTTGTTGGGGAACACATGAATGTCTGTTTATTTATTTATTTATTTATTTAGTTTATTTAAATGAGACAGAGGGCGCAGAGTGAAGGGAGAATAAAATACATATTTAAAAAAATCATTTAAGCTTAAACTTTGAGTTGAATCAGTGAAACATCAGTGATTCCGAACATAAACCAGCCTAAACCTTTACATTACAGTGACTTGTTTATTTTATTTAAGCTTTACTCTGATTTCTGTCTCTGAGCCGTTTCTGAATGTGTGTTTAATTTTTAATTTTTAATTAAACTTAAATTCTGTTGAATCTCCGCTCTCAGTGAGTGAACAGCGGTCTGAGTGAGACTCAGCTGGAGCTCCGAGATCAGCCAGAACCTCTGCACGGTTCCTTACTGAACATTAGTTATTAACGTGCCGGAGTCCCCTGTTTTATTCTCATGTCCTCGTGTCTGTAAATCAGTCAGAAACATCAGTGTAACTCTTCATCTGTGACAGACACACAGTCAGAAACGCAGCTTTAAAGTTTGGCTTGTAGCTGAAACTCGTCTTGCGGTGATAAGTTTCGTATCTTTTACATTTTTGCGTTTTTAATTTGTGTTGTTAACTGTAGAGCATCACTAAAGTGGTGAGTTGCGGAGCTTAAAGTGCACTTAAGTTTAAAATGATCAGAAAATTACGCCTCAATTTAGTCCAGGACTTCACTTTGGCAGTTTTCCTGAGCGCCCTCTGTCGGTCACTCGGTGTCACTGCAGCTTTATTGTGCGCTTCAGCGCTGATCAATCTAAAACCTTTAAAAAGTTTTAAAACTTCAGTTCATTAAATGAACGTTTAGGAAAGCTACATAGATTAATTACTGCAATCCGTGCGCCCAGTTAAAGTTATTTTTGCCCCAGTTTGAGTAGAAAAACGGAATTAAAAAATTAAAAAGGCGTAGAATCGGTTTGGCCCTCGTGCAAGTGACAAAAGTTGATAGAAAGTGTTTGTAATTTGCTGTATAATAAAGTGTAACATGGTAGTGATGATTGTGATGTGGAGCTAAATATTACCCAATCTGTGTTTTTCTTAATGTTAAAAGTCATGAACTGCTTTAAAAGTTAGTGAAACTTAATAATAAAGTAAAATAAAAAGTTAATTTATTTAATTATCTATTTTAGTTTATACCAAGCTACACAAATAGATCCGATCACTAGCTCTAATTCACACAGCATTTGAAAAACTTCGTAGAGCTGGTAGAATACTTAACTCTGCTACATATTCTGTAATAAGACTGTTTCTCTCTCCCAGCTGTAATGAACCGTAGTAATATTGTTATTTTTGGTTAAAAGTGAATGTGATTCACTTAAACTGGAGCCAATTCACCCCAGAACTGTTTTAAATTTCACTTTCATTTATCCATATCTTAAACTAGCCATATCCTCTGTGGTAATAAAGCACAGATAGACAGATAAGTGTAGTGAGTGGGAGAAGTGCGTTATTGGAACAAAGCAGCTTTAGAAAATGAGACCAAACTAAGTTTGCACTCCTGTCCCAAAAGTTGTTCTTGGGTCCTGAGTGAGGAAAAGGGCTAAAAGAGTAACCAGTTCACACAGAGATGATGCTGATGACTGTGACGGTGAATAATTAGAGCAAAAAGGTTTTATTTGCCCCGTTTGGAGGAACTGGGGACGTCTGGATTGACAGAAGTGCACTAAGAGGGCAAAAAGTTATTAAGAATACACTTTTTTGTGATCTTTATTTTGTCATATTTTGTTAAAAATACAGACACACATACACACATGTGTTGTATTTAACCCATCTGTTTTGAGAGTTGGACAGTCTCGTTGGACCTTTCATTTGCCCACTGTTACATTGGCGGCCCATTGTAACCTGCTCTGCTTTTCATTACTATTATACAACCTATGGTGCTTCTCTTTTAGTCCCCTTGTTACCCCCCCACCACTGCCCAACGGCTCGGCTCTGTGTGTGTGTGTGTGTATGTATGTGTGTGTGTTAAGGCCTCCAGGCTTCATGCTGCCGCTGATCCACCAAAATCCTCTTCCCACCTCACAGTCCAGCTTTTCTTTTCTCTATCTTTTCTTTATCGTGATGAATAACAGTGCTGATGGCAGCGAATGGGCTTTGTTTTATGACAGCTGTGGGTCAAATCTATGGACGTCTCAATTTAGAGTTAAACTTACTAAATGCAGAGTTGGTTTCTTTTCAGATTTCGTGGCAGCTTTGAGTTAAACGCGTGGACTTTTCTGCTCTCGTCGTGTTCCTTTTCATTTGGCCTGGGCTGGTCAGTTTTGCGTGGATACGTGGAGAGGAGTGTCCACACGTTGCTCTCATTTGTGTTGCACTGGATTAAACTGATACAAACTTTTACAACTTTCCACATAAATAAAATATATAACATCGACACAATGACTGGCAAAAGGAAGTAAACTGACGTTATTGTGTTTATGTATTCTGTTTTATTGATATAGAAATGATGTACATGTTTGAATCAAGTGAATTTAATGCGGTTTTTTGTCAGTGCACGACTGCTTTGCTGTGTATAGGCGTTTAGAGAGAATAAACATTATGTTCTGCTCCCTTAGTGGAACGGAAAACTTAATAAAGGAGGACAGTTTGAGGAGTTTTAGGAGAGGGAGTGAAGGACTGTTTTACTGCGTTGTGCTTTGTAGAGAAGCACTGGCACAAATTGCAGAATATAATTTACTGACACCAAAACTAACCTAAGAACAAAAATGGGAGAACATTTTTGTTTATTCCAGTTAGCGAGAATGGCCGTCGCATGCTACTGAATATGCAGATAAAAGGTTTATTGCACAGAGGTTAGAATTGAAGTCATTTATTTTAATGCTCTCACAGTTTGAAGTCAAATGCAGAGCTTGACGTTGCCACTCCTGTTCTTTTCTGAAACATATGAGCTTAATTACAGATGAAGAGTGCAAAGAAAGTGACCAAGTGCTGCAGACTGACTTGAGCAGTCTTCAGTTAGTGTTTTGTATGTGTGTGAGTGTGTGGACATACGAATGTGTGAATACAGTGCTGTGAGAAAGTCAGAGACCACCCTTCATTTATTTAATTGCCAGTCAAATTAGCCATTAAGCTTGAGTTATTATTTTTTCAGCATCAGAAAAAAAGACAGAAACAAATATAACAGAAAATGACAGAAAAGCCTCAACAACTAAATATACCATATTCATTTTCAGTCCACTCTTTGCCTTTATTACAGCTTGTAGTATTTTTAGCAGACTTACTTTCAGTTTTTCAAAGAAACTTTTTTTCACACCTACAAAGTTCAGTCTTAGGAGTTGGTTTAGCTTTTTCTGCTCTTCGAAATCCTGGTAATATGGACTCTGGGGTGGTCAGTCTATTGCTCAGAGGACACCAGAAGCTTCTTTGTTTGATTTGCCAAGTTTCTTTTTCTCAGTAATGTCTTTTTGACATCTACACATCCTTTCAGACCCATAGCGCTGAGTTGCCCTCTCACAGTGGAAGGATGGACAGAAACACCTGTAGATGTTTTCAGATCTGAAGCAGCTTGATTTTCTCCTCTCTCAGAGATGAAAGCTTTAAGTGCTGTTTATCTGATGGTGGTCAACCAGATCTTACACTATTGTTAGGACTCCCAATTCCTTGTAATCCTTCCTTAATAATTTTTTTTGATCAGTTTTTAAAAATCTCTTGACATTATCTCTATCGTGCTTCACGTTGGTCTGGAAGTGCACGCCGCTGAACGAGGGAGCGCAGAGGGGAAAAGAGAGAGAAAAGCTGTGGTGTAGTTTAGGCTCTTGAGTGAGAGTTGCTCACACACAGCTGCTGAAGTCCAATCGCAGCTTTTCCTCGTAAGGGGATGGATAAACGGACCGCCTCGGACCCTCCTCAGCGTGTGTGACTGCACTGATTCCGTATGTCAGGCCAGCACAGTGTTACAGAACACACGTCTCTAATGAAGTGCTGCGTTTGATTTCTCAGACCAAATGAAGAGTGAGGACACAGATTGTTTAGAAAGTGGACGTCTCTAATAAAGCCATCGTAGAAGGAGATGTTGATGTTAACTATGGACTGTGTCCTTGGTCACTCAAGAACTGTCCCAGGCAATTCTGCTGTTGTTGAGCAAGAGAGCGAATGTGGCAGTTGTTATATGGGGATTGAATGGTTGAGTCTTTGGTAACATTTGGAATCTTTTTCTGGCCTTTTTGCATGTCAGTAGATGAATATGATTCATACTGTCTGCTTGACTGACTGCTTTTTACTGTCTCTGTGTATTATATGGTTTGCACGCAGAGTTGTTTTAGAAAAATGGCACATCCCTGTGTTGTGTGTGCCATACCCTTAGAAGTGCACATTTATATATATATATATATATATATATATACTGAAGTTTTGTTTTGAGTTTATAAAGCTCTAAAAGAGCTGTAAATGCTGTAAATTACATTGCAGATTGTATCTTTCATATATAATTTTTTGTTTGTGGGTGGAGTAGTTGATCACCAGACCATAGCCCTTTCTTTAAAGTATGGACTTGATGCCTACAAAATCAGTAAAATATGTTAGATTACTGCTACCACAACCATATTTGGTATATATATTCTTTATTGGGTGTACTA